TAGATGTAGTTTTATGGGAGTGTATTTTATACAATTTCTTAAGTTCTCACACTGCTTTTATTCAGGATTTTATTCGCTTTACAGTTAACAGAGGATCTTATCATGGACTTTTGTAAGAATATTGGGAATCCTTTCTTACTCTTCCCTGATATTTACCTGTGCTTGTTTATAGTTCCAGATATAGATCTCTAAGAAGAGAGAATAAATAGGAATATTGTGAATTTTACTACTGCTAGCATAATTTGTTTACATATGGGTGAAATTGGTTCCTTTTTCCTAACTGAAAGAGAACTTGGAATGATTGCCAACTGTATTAGTTAGTTATACTGTAGACCTGAAGACTTTTTAAGATCCTAGTGGGATGCCTATGTGTTATGCATTAAAAAATTTGTCATCTTTAACATCTCTCTCTTGGGTATCAGCTGAGAGGCTGTTCACCTAACTATAATTTTCTTCCTTTTTCTGGATGAAAGCAGGACTCCAGCTCTGTGCTTCCATTCCCCAACAGGGCTGTGCATTATTAACTGGGATGAATGAGGATAGGAGGAAGAAATTAGAAAACCCTGCATCCCTCCCCCTAAAAAAACAAAGCAAAACCAAAAAACCCCAAAGCCTGCAAGCACATCCTAGTAGAGTAAGGAGACAATGTACACTATGTTTTTATTACTGACAAGGAATAAAATTGCTACCATTAAGTTTCTTCTGAATATAAACTGCTGAGTACATTTGAAATTAGTGTCTAATATGTCACTGAAGAATTCAGTTGTCTTAAGAATATTGATTCCTTAATCTTGATCTGCTACATTAGAAGTTCAATAGGAGCTTCCATTCACATTGGGTCAAGTCAATCATTATGAATAATCTTGTTTTACTTTTTTATAGTTTATAGTAAAAAGCTGAAATTCAAACAATTTGTGAAGCCAGTGAACATTGCATTTTATACTGCCTGTGGCTGTTTGTCTTACAGGTTACTGGAGTAGGGTATAACAGGTTTGGAGAAGTGATACTTGATGGTGATGTTATCCATGGTTATAACAACCCATCCATTAGCAAAATCGTTGAGGTGAGATTTTGGCACAGAGGTGTGTTTTAGTCAGTGACTTAATACGAGAGTTGTTTGGTATTTACTTGTGTTCTTTTTTTTTCCCCCTTGCCTTTTGTTCCTTATCTTTTAGGCTGGTTGTGTCTGCAATGATGCTCTGATTAGAAACAACACCTTAATGGGGAAGCCAACAGAAGGGGCTTTAATTGCACTTGCTATGAAGGTGTGTACTTGATGGTGCTTTTTTTTTTTTCATTTTTGACAGGTGGGATGTGTGTGAAACTTTTTCCCTCATTTGTGGTTCCTAGGTTTTTGTTGCAACTGCTTGTCTTGTGTATGTTTCTTACCTGTTGGAAATCTTTGGGCATTCTGAAAGATGAGGAAGATACTCAGTGAAGTAAAGTCTTTAATTGCACATATTTTTCACACTTAATACTGTTACTCTGCCTGCCATAAGCTAACTGACCTATTGAATGTTAATTGTTTCCTTTTCCAGTTTCCATCAGCAGCAGTAATAAGTGGATAACTGATTAGTAAATACATTGGTACTGTTTGTGGCTGCAGCGTTTGCAGTGTCCTTTAAATGCTGGGCAGGAGTAGTTTGAATTGTGAATATTCTGGTTAAATATGGCTTGTATTCTGTGACACACCTGTTAGAGCTACTGGGAAATGTGGCAAAGAATCTTACTACTTGATTTTTCTGTGATTGTGAGTAAACTTACAAAGATACTAGAAGATGAACGCATTATAGTATTTCTTTCTCCAAGTAACTGAGACACGAGATATGTTTATTTTCTTGCTGAGATTCATTTTAAGTCTGCAGTCTTTGCCTGGAAAGGACCAGAGTGATATTATTTTGCTAAGAGCACATAGGAATAGAGAACAGGAGTCTCTTGTATCTGTTGCTGGGGAGGTAGTGACATTTAACATATTGTGAAGCTCTTTTAGTACTAAGAATTGTTTACAGAAGACTGCTGCTTTTGCAGCTTCTTTAATCTGTTTTTTTTTTTTCTTGGACTTGGTTAAGGCTACAGCATGGAAGGTGAGTTGCATCTGGGGTGGGGAAGGAACAGCATTTGGGATGGAAATCTATTTTCTCTGACTTGTCTGGAGTTTTCATAGTTAATTTCAACCTAAAAGTTAGTAGATTCTGACAAAAAAAATCTCGTTTCAGATTGGATCCTGTGAACTACAGATCAGTGGCTCGCCTTCTCTAGATTTTGCTGCAGTCTTCTGTTATTTTCTAGGCCCTTTAGCAGAGAAATTACATAGAACCAAGATAACAGAAAAATGCATTGGTGCTACTGCATCCACCACATAGATGTATTGTGTTTTGTCAAACCAAGAACCACGTTGTTAGCCGTTGCGAGACTTGTGAGATTGTTGTGATCTACAAAGTATTTAAAGATCCTTGGATCGAAGTTACTGTGTAATCTTAAATGGTCTGACTTATGCTGAAGCCTTAGGTTCTTTCAGTGCTTGTTTGTCAGAAGTTTGTCTGAACTGGAGCAGAGTGCTCAAGAGCGCTTTTGGAGCTTAAACTGGTTTTTAACTAAGTAGTGGTTCTTAACTACTCATCTCAGAGTCCAACAAATTGTTTAGCTATTTGAACACAAAATGTCCTGACATTATGGTACTTGTTTTGTTTTATACAGATGGGTTTGGATGGACTCCAGGAGGACTACATAAGGAAGGCTGAATATCCCTTCAGCTCAGAGCAAAAATGGATGGCTGTTAAATGTGTCCACAGAACGCAGCAGGTAAACTTTAATCACTGTTTCATTGTGTATTGGCTGTGTTGCGTTGCTTTCTGTAGAACAGTTATGGATACTATTTAATGTCTTCTTTTTTCACTTCAGAAGTAGAAGCTAGTAGTGCAGTGTACAGTCCTGGGAATATGGTTCAATAATAGATCTGGTTTCAGTTTCAAGCTCTGAAGTGGTAACTAAGAATCACAAGCAATTCTTTCTATAGAGGTATACTGGGAAATTATTTTAAATATTTTGATATTGACTTTGAGTATATACCTGACTGTTTTCTTCCTTCTCCTTGCCCCTCAAACATCTAAAGCAATTCGGTCAATCTTCTGTTTCAGGGCTGCATAGTTACATAGTGAATTAAGAGCACAAGATTGTAGATGTTTAATAGTTAAGCTTTCTTATGCTTTTCAGTGGGCTTTTTTTTTTTTTTTTGGCTGTCAGCAGTGTCCTGGATTATCAATACAGACTATTTTTTAACTTTTTCATTGTTTCTTATACTGCTTTCACACACATGCACTTGCATTCATACTTCATTTAGACCAATCTGAATATTTTTGCTACAAATATCTACATAATTCCTATTTTCAGGCTAGGCCGGTAATGAGCCTTCTAAATAGTATGTGCAACAGAAGCCCAAATTTTGGCTTTATGAAAAATTTCCTGCTATTTGTGACCAAGAAAAATGGCTTGCTGACAGTATTTAAGTATCAGCATAAACTCTGCCTTTTGTCTATATGGAGAATATTGTTGTATAATCCTTGTCTGTATAAAGAGTACTGAGCTGGAATTGTTGATGACTTTTATCTGTGTAAAGATTTACTGTGTTTGATGTGAGAACATTGCATTCTGTTTTGGTATCAGCATTTTTAGAAGACTGATATGGTAAGTGATTGGAAATTGAGCTGAGGCAGCACTTAAGCAAAAATGAGGGAAAGGAATGGACGAGTTGATTTACCATTAGAATAAATATTCAAGGTAAGTGGTGAAATCTCAGTCCCTTGATGCCATCAAGTCTGGACGGCTATCTGAAAAATATGTCAAGTTATTATGTACTTGGTTCAAGGGTGAAGTTGATGTTTAATGACCTGTGCAAGAGGACAGGTGGGCAGATGATGAGCTAAGTGACCTTTCAGGCCTAAAGATCTGTGTAGGTTTCCTTTCTGTTCTTTGCTTAGTGTCTTTGGGTTGTAAACAAATTGTGACCTAAATGTCTAGTGTGCATGACGTCTAGTGAAATGAGATACTGATTTTAGCTTGTTTTTTGGTGTTAATACTCTGAAACATACACTATATAGAGATATAAAAAGCTGTTTTTTAAAGTAATTTAGATTTGCACTACACATTCTGAAGAGTTTTTAGGCAAGTATAATTAAAAGTATCATTCTCGTGTGTATGTGTGTATGTACCAGGGGGTGTATGTGTGTGTATATATATGTGTATATACACAAATGCCTGTGCACACAATTCTTTTTCCTTTTAGGACAAACCAGAAGTTTGCTTTATGAAAGGTGCTTATGAACAAGTCATTAAGTACTGTACATCATATAACTGTAAGGGGCAGGCCCTCCCTCTTGTTCAGCAACAGAGAGAGCAATACCAGCAAGAGAAGACATCTATGGGTTGTGCAGGACTTAGGGGTAAGACCATTTCAAGGTCGTGGAATAACTGTTTTTTAATGTCATTGCTTACTTGTTCAACAAAAATGCAGAACTAAGAAAAAAACATTTGTGAGGGGAGTGCCACTGGGATGACCAGTTTTTCTTTAAAATAGGGGGGGGTGGAAAACTGGTGCTGTCGTTTAAGGGCTAGATAATGTGATTGATTTGCAGAGGGTTTGGAAAGGTGCTGCTGGTTCCTGGTATCTCCTGCATACGACCATCGCAACAGAACAGCGCATTATTACTTAATAGCTAGTATAGCTCGTAGTTTTTTGTGGGTTTTAAAATATGAATAGTGCCAAGACGTGCCCATTTCTTTATTATTTTGCGGCACAACTAATTGTGGGGCAGAAGTTGCTATTAGGATTACGTTTTTATCATAACAGGCTATGTAGAGTTTTCAAATACAACAAATTGTTTTTCACAAGGTTTTTTGTAGGAGGTAGGTTGCGTGCATGCATTATGCAAGATACATGGCTGTCTTTCATTGTTCTCTGTAAAGAGACCTCAAGCCTGTTAAGTCCATCTAAAGCTGTTAAACATGAAGGTATCACTAATACGTGGCTCATGAAATTCCTAGCATACGAAATTACTAGAAACTGAGAGGGTGTACCAGAAGTAGTACCACTTTGTGCTTGTTTTGTTCAGACAGTCGTTCTTTACGCATCTGCTTCAGGCCACTGTCAAACAGAACACCTAGTGTCACGTTATGTTTTCAAAAAAGTGAATTTGCATCTCTTTTACAACAATAATGCCATTTAAATATATTGAAATTAAGATTCCTACTGTGAAAGTCAATTTAGAAAATATTTAGCATGTATTTGGTATAATCTGCCTAAATCAAAAATAAAACGTTAACTTATCTCCCTTTCATATTGTTACATAAAAGACTGTGCATGTACACAGAAACCGCAACTGGAGATGCTGTTCTCTTTCCAAATGGTGACCATTTATACACTTCCATCTGAAAAAAAATGGGAAAATTTTCTTTAAAACCTGAAATACGTAGGGTTGGTAAGGAAAATACCTTTTAGAAGAAAGGAATATATGAAAGCAGTCTATTCTAAATACTGAAGATAATGGACATTGCTACTAGGTTAAAAAGAAATTGCAGCCCTTGCCCTTTGCTTTGTCCTAGTCTACTAATTCAGTTAGGTCTTATTTCTGAACATCTACTTGTGATAGGTTCCTTTCAGGTAGGATACTCAGATGAATGAAGATACTCATAAATATATTTCGCATAGAGGCCCTTGGTCAATATGCTAACATCTAGTTGTATGTCATTAGTTTTCATTTTGGAAAACAAGAGTATTAGCATTGGTGTAAATTTTATTTTCAAATAGTAACTTATTTTTCTTTGTTCCCTAAAAGTTCTAGCTTTAGCTTCCGGTCCTGAGTTAGGACAACTGACTTTTCTGGGGCTTGTGGGAATAATTGATCCTCCGCGGAGTGGTGTAAAAGAAGCCGTTACTACACTTATCACATCAGGAGTTGCAATAAAAATGATCACTGGAGATTCACAGGAGACTGCAGTTGCCATTGGTATAAATTGTCTACTGACCTGTTTTTCAGTGTCAGCAATTGCCTAGTTAATTGTTAAGAAATGCTGTGGATATTAATTCTTTAACATCTGAGTTCTAGATGTATAGATTGTATGCATATTGTATTCGCAAGTGGCATAGAGGAACTGGAAGAAAAATAGTCTGAAGTGATACTTCAGTGGTTTCAGCCTTAACTGTAGTTTTTCTAATTTGGTTTGCGTGTCAGGTTTTCTGTTTGAGACAATAGGTATTGTCTTATTGTATTTTGCTATACTGCATGCTTAACTTCTGATTCTTACAGTTTTGTCCCCTGCATTGAACAGGGAGAAACTGAGATAGCCACTGACAATGAGCATTTGGGATGTATATGGCCCTTTAAGTGCTTTTACTAAGTTTTTTCCATATAAGTTTGAAGTTTAAGTAAGTGCCTTTAATAAATATTTAAATAAGTTACTTATCCTAACTTCTTTTTCAATGCAGTACCTTAAAATATAGATACTTTAACTAGAATATGGATCCTTTATGTAAAGGACGATGATGAAAAAAGTTGAAAGCGCATGCAAAAAGTACACCCCAAAGTTAGCAGTGCTTTCACAATTAGAATATCTTTCCTTTTTTCCTTATTTGCTTTATCTCTGTGTTCATTTTCTATCTTGTTGTTTTTGAACTGTGAATCCTGTAGAGAGGACTAAGCCTTTATGTTTATATGGCACCTAACCACAATGAGATACAGACCTTAAGACCTGAAAAAAGGTTAAGGAAATAGATATCTGATTAGAATAGATTTGATGGCGTGGGTTTGTTTAAGAGTTCAGATAATTTACTTCAGTATACTGAATCAAAATGAAGTATTAGGAAGTACTGCTCTAGGCTTTTCAAATCTGAAATGCTACAGAAAATAGTAAGCATAGAAATAAAATTTTGCTGCTTAATGTTTTAAACAAAGGTAAATTATTACAGTACTGTGTTTTTTGTTTGGTTGGTTTCCAGCTAGTCGCCTAGGATTGTATTCTAAAAACTCACAGGCATTATCTGGAGAGGAAATAGATGGTTTGGATATTCAGCAGCTTTCTCAAATTACACCAAAGGTATGCTTTGATATATTTACTGAAAAGCAGTAAAGGATACATTCTGTATTGAGAAATACAGCCAGTTTCCTTCGGTTAGTTTGTATGGCTGTGTGAGGATTTATTTCTTTCAACTTAAAAGGGTGTCTTTTTCAGTGAATTCATTACCTTTCTGTCTTTCATGTTCAGTTGACCTTTCAGTGCCTGCATTGGGAATTTCTTTTTTTTATTTTGCCACCTTTTATTTTCAGTGAGCATCATCTTGTTATGTTAAAGACTCCCCTCCTTTTTTTTTTTTTTTTTCTTCAGTAGTTGATATGTACAATTTCAGAATTCGCTTGTTCACACATGGTCTACTTCAAAAAAGGAGCTGTCTTAATCTTCAGTGATTTGTAATCAGTCTCAGACCATTGGCTAAGAGTATCGAAAAGGCCTATTTATTAATTTGGCTACTTAATACTTTTTAACTTATTAAATGACTAAAGAAATGTCATAGTTGTAAATGTGAAGTCATAATCAAGTGCAACTAAGGTTCATACTTGGCTCTGTTGCAAAGTTTACGGTTCAAAATGCTTCTCTGTTTGCAAAAGACTGTAAAATTATACTGCAGCATTCTTGAGTCTGATATAACCAAGGAAAAGCCAGTATTTACTATCAAGAAGCAAGTGCGTTTATAAGGCGAACATGTGTACATCTGTCAGCATTTTATCTTTCCTTGGTGACTCACAAAAAGAGTTGGAAAAAAAGAATTGTGTGTGGCAGATACTTATTTTTTGTTTATTCGGTAATACTTGTTCTTGTATGTTCTTGACTCTCTGCCTTAAATAACTAGAAATAATTACGGAAGTTACTTCATGCACATTTGACCTGATACTCACATTATTTTTCAGACGGTTATGGAAAATCCTAGTAGGAATTAATTAAAACCACCCAGAAAGATTGGCATCTGTATACAGTCTAATGTGGCTGCTGAGAAGTCTAATTTCTTATCCTGCCTCTTGAAAAGGAAGAATAGATGTGAAATGCTAATAGTATGGTATTTTGTTGAAGATGAAATTCCACTTACGAAATTCTAATTTATCAAGTAGATCAGAGACAAAAAATACTTAAAAATATTAACTCATTCTAAGCTAGAATTTTTACTAATTAACATTAAAATTTTAATGTGTAAATGCCATGCTACATAAAATAGTAAAATTGAAACATCTTGAGTAGCTTGCCAGTAGTGCTGAGAAAGGGAGGATATTTATAGAGTTAGTATGGCAACTGCCTGTATAAATTTAATCTGGGAGGTCGGCACTGCAAGACATTATAGCTCAAGTTGATTCAAAATTTCGGAGGGTTATTCTGTAGTTTTAACACTACAGATGCCGTAAAATAAGTAGCGCTGACTTTGTTTAGCAGATCACAGTTCAAGTTTTGTCTGAAATTAATGATTTCGCCCTATTAAAAGCATAATTCACTGATGTTTCAGCTTCAGAACTAGTGAGAGTATAGTTGGACTTTGAAAATATTTTTGTATCCTCTAACTTTACAGTACCGAACACACTTTAAATAACTCAGATTTTCACCATTTGTTCACTGTGCTTTTAACAGGTTGCAGTATTTTACAGAGCCAGTCCCCGACATAAATTGAAAATTATAAAGGTATGTTTCACTAGAGGCTGGAACACAGGACAGCTGTTATGGGCACTGTTTTGTGGCACTTTTACTTAAATTATAATGGGCTACAGTGTGTTGAGATGAAACCTGAAATGCATTTGGTTTGAAAAAGCATATTTGAAAATACTACCTAGGAAAATATATAGTGTCCAGTAGGGATATGAAGGTGCTGTTAGGAAACATCATGCTTTCTTCTATGTCAGGGGCCTGGGGTTGATCACGATTGTGTCGCGTTGCAGTTGAATTGACTAGGAACTTGAGAGAACCATATTTCTGCTGCTTCTCAGAACAAGCTAAAAAGGCATGAATTTCAAGCCATATCTGAGGTAATGCTTCAGTTCAGAAGCTAATAAAAGAAGCTGACAAAAAGGGACATTCAGTATAACAAACTGGAACAATCGAAAAAGCAACAATAATGAGAAGGAAGTCAAACATTATGAGACAGTTGGAATATCTTGAGACATATAAGAGGAAGATAATGTTAAGATATAAACACAGTGCTTTCTTTCTGTGATTTTTCTCTCTAAGAGTTTTTACCTTTTTTTTTGATGCAGCTTTTAAATATCCTAGCTTTATGTAGGCTATCTGAATATGTGGACTAAAATTTAACCTTAAATCTTCTATTAAAAGTTCATTAAGATATAAACAGCTGCATTTTTGTTTTTTTAATTTGTTTTAAGATTTTTTTAAAGGAATTGTAAAAATTTTGAAACACTTGTATTTTGAATAATTATATAGGATGGGTTATTTCCGTGAATGATTCAGTCTCTTCCCCCTTTCTTTAGTCACTGCAGAACAACGGTGCAGTAGTAGCTATGACAGGAGATGGAGTGAATGATGCTGTTGCTCTGAAGGCTGCAGATATTGGTGTGGCAATGGGGCAGACTGGAACTGATGTTTGTAAAGAGGCAGCAGATATGATCCTTGTGGATGATGATTTTCAGACAATAATGTAAGTTCTATTCATATGGATACCTTGTGTTAAATATTGTTAATGAAAAGTGGCCTGTGTTAAGAGAAATTCCTTGAACTTGTGGCTATTATTAAGAAGTTCTTGGGTAAGTAGTTGAGATTCACGGTAATTACCTCTATTAGAGTCCTTTTTCTTTTAAAAAGAAAAAAAAAAAGAAAAAAAAAAAGAGAGAGAGGAGTCCAGGAAGGTAACAGTATAAGGGGCAAATATGAAGTATTTCTGCCTTTCAGTATGTTAATTTATGAATGCATTTACGAATTGAGAACTTTTCTACTTTGATCTTTGTGCACTGTACTGCTACCTGTTGTGTTAGCAGTACTGCTGACATAGGTCAGATACGTATGATATGACCTCCTTTGTTATTTACATTTGTACTAAAATACTGATCTGTGTTTCTGCTTCTCCAAGTAGGGTTGTATTAGCAAGCAGTATGTTTGGAAAGAAAGTTAATTGAGGTCAAATTGTGCCTCTGTTAGTCTTCAGTATGATGCACCTCGATTTAATTTTTTACTTCAGAAGCATATATCTTACATAAAAATGAGACAGAACATTTCTCTCAAGTTAGGAAATTTTACATAGTGTTATGTTTGCTTCAGCTCTTTAACGCGAAACAAAAACTTTTTTTTTTTTTAAAGAGAATGAGAGAGAGAGAGAGAGGAATAAGCTATTTAGTTATCACAGGTGAAAACAGGTTACCAGCTTCTGGGTAGCCAGTTGTTACTTGTTTATCAATTTATTTGCAATGTATCAAATAAGTTAGAGTATAGCTAGCAGAATTTTACTTTGCTTTTAATACATATGACTCTGCAAGGTAGTGGTTATTATTGGTAGAAGCTGGACTGCTATCTAGACAGATGGCCTTCATTTTGAATTTGTGTAGATTTCCCCAGCTCTTTCTCCCCCCTGCCCCAAAGTATAGCACTTTTCACTGTCGTTAATGAATGTCATCTTATCAGCCTCACAAGACTTCAGTTTCTCTGAAAGTACAAAGCTTATACTCTGGCAGGAGAAGTGAAAGATGCAAGTACAACATGACAAAATCTAGCTAGTTAGTGGTGTGTCAGACAGTAATCTGGGAGTTAAAAAGGCTTCCATACTAACTCGGTGAACAGTACTATGCTGTTGCCCAAAGAGAAAGGGAAGGAAGTCATTTTAAGATATCTTCAGAGAAGTGCGTAAGACCTCTGTGGTAAGTACTTAGCTTTACTTGGGCTTATTGATGAGGTTTTTGCTGGGATGCTTTGTCCAGTTTTGCTCACCTCCCTAAAAAAGCTCTAAATGGGAGAGTGAGAAGAGAACGGTGAACAGTGTAAGGAGGAAAACAAAACAAAACAATCTTTTCTTCTTAGACTATGCAAGCTCATTTGAAGGGGAGGGGGAGGGATGTAAGTTACAGAAGGAATGCTGATTAGTTTTTTCTTCTTGGCTCTTGGGGGAAATGGAAGACAGAAGTCAGCTTTATTTGCAGCAAAGTAAACGTGGTTTAGGTATTAGAAAAAAAAAAATTGTTACTAATACAGTGGTGATAATGTGATAGGCAGATTGTGACACATGCTGGAGACTGAAAAGATAGCCTGTATGTATTTGATTCTGCTGCAGTGCAGTGCAATAAGAATACAGCTTTTTGGAAATCCTCATCCTATGTCTGTGATTTTTTTTTTTTTTTAAATCATCTACCTTGAATCAGAAAAATCTATCTGGAATGATGATAAATCTTAACAAAGAGGAGATTTTACTAGTGAAATTTCATTTTGAAAGTTAAGATAAGCAGCTGGAATGAGAATCATTGTGATTGTTTTTCTACTTTTCTATTATAAAATTAATAGCTGTCAAAGTTAAAAGAACCTCAATTCCACGCATTTCTTGATATTTGCAATGCTGGGTAAAGTAAAAGGATAAATGATTTCTATTATGTGGTTTACTTTCAAAGCTTTTTGACAATAGCCTGATTTATCTAGTGGTGTAATCCTTTGTTTTTAATTGCAGGTCTGCAATTGAAGAGGGTAAAGGAATTTATAATAACATAAAAAATTTTGTTAGATTTCAACTGAGCACGTAAGTTTGAAATATTGCAATTGGACTGCTTCTAACTGCAATATCAGAAGCTTCTAACTACATTCTAAATGAATCAAATCATCACAAAGCAGATGCTTCATTAATTCACATGAATATTGTAGACTTCACATAGTTTGTTGATATACTGTGCTAGAAAATCAGTGGTTATAATGGCGAAAGATTTCTGGTATCGAATTTTCAGTGTTTTGTACTTAGTGGCTTGTTTCATTTTTAAAGAACCAGAAAATAGTGTAATAAACAGACTTTATATATTCTATATTATATATATAATATATATTATAATATATATTATATACATAACATTATTATATATTATTTATAACTTTATTACAGTTATTCCTGTTAAGATGTGAAAAGTCAATGACCAACAGAATGGAGAGAAACAGCTACCTCTGTGTTCTTGTTTAAAGGGGAAGTGTCTCTTCTAGCACAGTAGTCCTTTTCTCCTTAACCAGAACATGTACTTCAAATGCAATGAACTGGATGAACAGGAGTACGTTTCTCTTTAGTAATCCATGTACACGTTTGTGGGATGAAAGTTAGCCCCATAAAGCTGATTTCCTTTTCTTGTGTATATTCAAGTGGATTTTTAATGCCAACTATATTATCTGTACGTAAGACAGGAAGTCGAGTTTATATAAAACCTTATTTTCAAATGTGTTTTGAGTCTGTTTCATTGTGCCTGAATTCAGGAACGTGGTTTTTCTCTTTGCGGTGTTGCTCATGTGTGGATTTTGCAGCATTCGTGGCATTCTGTGAGGGGTTGAGTGATTGAGTGAGGCTACAAAAACTTTAAAAAAAAAAAAAAAAACTCTTAAACTTGTACAGAAACTGGAATGAGTGTTATACTTTGCATCTTGTGACTAGAGTCATGTAGTGGCAGGAGACTTCAAGGGACTTGCTTCAGTGGAATGGCTAAGCACAGATATTCTAGTAAAGTATGCTTGCCTATTAGCCTTGGGAATGGTAGCCTCAGAATTTGAAGAATAAGTTACTCTT